GTGAAAATCTTATCAATACCCATCCCTATCTCCAATGCATACCTCCACCTGGTCCCTACTCTCACTACATCATCGCATCTGCAAACATTACAGTCCAAGACATCACCATCACTAAATATGAAAGGGATCAGGGTTGATTCCTGGTGTAAGTGGGCTAAAATGACTCACCAGCACCTTTAAATGAAACGACGAAAGGAGAGAAAAACAAAAATCCGGACCCTATTCACCTTTGACTCCGCCTTACTGTCCTGGTCAAACTTCAGTACATATAATATCCAAGCAACTCAATGCATAACTCCTGAGAATTTCATGCATTAAAAAAAAAAAAGTCAGTAAAACACATTAAATCAAAAGCTGTAATCCTGGAGATGTAAATAGATTTATAAGTCATTTTCATATCTTGGAGGTTATGGAGGTGAGAGGACATGGTGATATAATAAGAAGGCTGAGTGTTTGTGTGCGACTGACCAGCAGCATGGCCTGTTCACGGAGCAGCTGCTCCTGGAGCATCTCGAGGTGTCTCTGCTCCTCTTCCAGCTGGCGCCTGATGTACTCCTGTCAGCAGGAAAGAAAACCCATCAAGGCTGCGCATGTCTCTTTAAATAAGCACCAAGTACAACCCTAAAAATCCATCTTAAAACAGATAGAGGGATGTTTTGGCTTTGCTGCGCTACGATAAATACATAAAGTAACCCCTGAGCTTCATGTCTTCATTTTACAGAACCAACACACCATTTCACTTCGTGTTTCGCTGGCTTTAATTGCAGTAAAAGTAATTCCAGAAACGGACCTGCTCACGATCGTTCCTTCTCTTCTCGTCCTGCCGGCGTTCCTCCTCCTCTTTACGTCTACGATCCATCTCCTCCATACGCCTCTTTTCTTCTTGCTCGCGACGACGCTGCTCGCGCTCCTGTTGCCTCCTCATCTCCCGTTCACGTCGCTGTTGCTGTGGGGGTATTTGTGGGGGGAAAATAAATTAAAAACAGGGTAAAAACTGCTGAAAAACAGCACAACAAACGACACAACTAGTCGAAACAAAACCCTACCTCCTCTAACCGCCTTCTCTGCTCCTTCTGTTGCTCGATACGTTTCTGCCTCTCTGCCAGTAGTTGGCGCTTGTACTCCTCTTGCTCCCGGAGTTGCTGCTCCTGGAGGAGCTGCTGGTGACGGAGCGCCTCCGACCTCTCCTTGTTCTCCTGCTGCAGGCGGATGAAGTCACGCCGTAGAGTAGATTCACCTGGCACGTTGACAATTGAGCTGTATCGGTGTAAGAAAGAGACAAAAGGTTGGAGCTTTGTGAAACGCCTCCACCTGAGCAGGTGCACTTGTTTCCTTTCAGGGAAATGCTACAGGTGTAGAACATACCTGGGCTCTCCTTCTTGCTCAGGAGGATCCTCTTCCTCCTCCTCACTGCCACTGTACTCATATTCCGTCTCATCTGCACATGGACAAAAACCAGGAGTCACTCACAGCTTACGCCTACACTTTTCCAGCCTTTCATGATAATCGACAAGCACACGCACCTTTCTCGCCCCTCTTTTTCTTCGTCCGGTCGATGTGGTCTTTGAGCTGTATGCGGACCTGCCGCTCGTTGGGCTGGTCTCGGATGAAGGGGTGCTTCAGCAGCTGCTCTGTTGGTGGGCGCTGCGTGTAATTCTTCACGAGGCAGCTCTCGATGAAACTGAAGAACTTTTTGGACCTGTGAGCGAGTTGGGGGAGAGAAACAACA